GAAGCCTGGGTGAGGTGAAGTCACTCTCAGTGGGGTCGTTGCCGGTCAGGCCGAATCCGACTGCAGAGGGATTGTGTTACGACACCAAGAGGCTCTGAGGCCTCGAGTCTCACCTCCTCTCAGACCACAGGGCATCCTCTGCTCTCTGAGGAAGCCCGGCTGTTATCGAATCCCAGAGCTCAGCGCTCGCCTCTAACAAAGCTAACTAGATCCCCAGAGCAGGTCAGGTTCATGCTGAAGTCTAAGTAAGTAAATGAAGTCACAATAATGTCTGTGCCCGTTTGGATTTCTGCAGAAGAACAATGCACATTTTTAGCACCTTAACTCATTTGTCTTCAACGTCAGAATTAGTGTTGACGTTTAAATGTTAATTCCATAGAACCCTACCCGAAAGTAAACAAATTCCTTTCTATTGTTGAAATTCTGTTCAACTATGTGGCTATTGATGTCTATTGATTATAAAAAATATCACCAATGTCATGGTTTAGTGAATCAGGACCCAAGACGTGAACTTCAGAAGGCAGGCCGGTAAAACAAACAAGCAAACAAACAAATGACTAACACCAGAGGCTCACAGAGAGGCTAACCAGGAGTCTGACACCCACTGATGGGAATAACACTGTTTAAAATAACAGCATTACTAAAAATATAGTGTCTTCTTTTATCATAACACCGCTGCTGATAAGAAAATGTGTGCATTACTAATTCAGCAGCACGGTGTGTTGAAGCTGTCATCAGCTGATTGGGAGCCAAAGAGCAGCTAAAAAAAGCTGCTCTGAACTGAAAAAAAGTCTAAAAAACTCATAGAAATTTTAAAAGAAATAAAAAAGAAGTGCTTCAAAAAATAACTCTTTTTAACCATTGCCCTAAATTCTTATTTAAAAAAAAAAGGAAAAAAATTCAGTTCTTTTTTGTGTTGCCATAAAAAGGCACACCCTTTGAGTCTTATTGCAATAAAACAAGTGCAGTCATGTAGTTTTATAATTATTAATAACAGAATCTTAACTCCACCAGTGCAACAACATTTTAAAATTCATTTTTTCTTACAATGTATTAAATGTGTTTCTGTTATCCCAGATTTCTGATTTTGCTGCTTTTTTTATTTGTTCATATACATGATAGCGAAAGGTACAAACTCATGATAAATGCATCAATTTAGGAAGTCAAAATAAAAATTTTGTTTTTCCTAACTGCTAAAAAAGACTGTTTTTGGATTAATAGTATAATTATTTGATGCTCACAGTTTGGATTGATGGATATTCTGTACATCACATGTAAATTTATCATAGGTTTATTGTTCTTTTGTATTGAATTAAACAGCAACAAAAGAATCTCGTGAACATCAAAACAAGACTAATGTCTATTTACTTGGAGACACCCAACGCTGGATTGTTACCTGATGGGACATGCCTTTTCAAGGCAAAACTTGCTGCAGCGCTCCTTTTTAATTTTTCTGCTGTAACCTTTGACACAGAAACCCAGGAATTGCCTGTTGTTTTTAAATCAGCTGTTTTGAGCAAATTATCTTCCATCTCAGCTGGCAGAGACAACTTATTATAGTGAGTTCAATCTTTATGGGCTACATGCAACCCCAGTGTTAAATGTTAAAGCTGCACAAATGAGTGGGGTTGTCCTCTGAACCGTCACAGCAGAGCTCAGTCATATTCTCGCATCACTGCCACACCTGCTTAAAATAGCCGCACGTATGAGTCCTGACAGGTTCAGGCCGCAGTTCACTGATTACACTGGTGGTGCAGCTAATAAAGGATCTGTTTAACTAACTTGCAGCGCATGTGTGCGTGTGTGTGTTTTCTCTTTTCTTCAGCAGGGGAATATTTGGAGCTCAGTTTTCCGCTGTTTTTGTTTATTCATGAGCGGGTATCCTCCCAGGTTTCCATTATCAACCTGGACAAATGAAAAAAACAACTTCCAGTGCTGCTGAAGAGAGATGCAAAGCTGCTTTGCTTCATTTTTGTGTCACATGATATAGCATGTGCCCTTTTCAAAAATTATAGCAAGCATAAAAAAGCGAGATGTCCCTGTGGAAAGGTTCCTCCTACATGTCTGATTATTTGATGGTCATGTTTTTTTTAATAAAAGTTCCCCCTCCTCTAAATCTTCACCTTTAACTGAGACTGACATCATTTATGAGTTTATCCTGAAGTGGAAGACGTAAAAACCAAAGTCCTTTAAGATCTCTTACACCTGACGAGGTGTTTTTTTGTGTGATGACCTTTTAAGGTCAAACTGATTGGGACAAAGGTGACTCAGTGCACCAGTCTTGTTTTGCTTTACCTGTAGTGAGAAATATATATAGAAGTCATTCAGGTTTTGCAAAAAATTTCCCAGAATTTTCTGCAGCTATATGAACCGCACCATTAGGTGGCTATGAATAGCATGTCAGTGTTGTCGTGAGGTGCAACAGTTGGCCACATCCCGTTTCTTAGATTCTCACATCGGCGACCAAGTGTGAAGATAAAAACTCTCGGGCCAGTGTGTCATCTTCTGGCTCTTTTTTTTCACAGTGGAACATCATTGAGCATACCAATGGAAAATATTAGTTAATCAACAGTTTGAAAATAACACCACAGTTATTATGTAGGTGGAGAAGACGTCATGATTTTTTTAAAACACTGACTGAAAACAGGAGAAAAGCTTGTGAAAAAAGACAAAGAGAACGTTTGTTGCTTTTCGCTGCCGAGCTGTCGGGTTCTCCCACACCATCTTCACAACTACCTGGAGCTGTTTTCTCAACTCAGCAAACGCCGAGCCGAGCAGCGGCACAAATGCTAGATCACCTCATTGTTGCGTGTGCTTGTGCTTCCTTTACGAGCTAAAAATAACCTCGGCGTATAAATGCATGTTTAGCCCAGAGCGAAGCGAGGCTGAAAACAGCCGGCACTGTTGGCACAGGTTGGATTTTTCCAAAGGGAGTTCCTCCTGTTGAGGGAGGTGAGTCCCGACTAACCTGTGTGTGTTCCGTGTGTGCGCGACTCGGACGGTGTTTACCTTCAAAGAGAGAAGCGCAGGGCTGACAGTGTGTGGCCTGCTCCTATTCAAACTGCACGTGCAATGACATCTACACATGCGTTTTTCTGTCCAACCCTCTTCCATATTTTCCATGCTTGCTTTATTTAATGCTGAAACATTACATCGTCTTTTTAGCAGGTGTCTGAGAATTCAAACCAACTCCTGGTATTGTTTTCATTTGTGTGCTGATGCTTCACTGCTCACCTAACAGTATCTAGTAATAACAAACATCAGGGCCCCTCTGAACCTCAGAGTGGGTGGATTTCCTGTCGCTGGTTTCACCAGACACTCTCTCTCTCTACCTCTGTCGGCGTCTGCATCGGCCTGTCTTATCACGCCGAGCTCCCTGCCGCCGCAAAGCCTCTTGTTTGTTGAGCCACAGGTCTCGAGGCCCTCGCCATCTTCTTAGTCACTTCCCTCTGTTTTGCCAAAGAACACAGCGCAGATAAACGGGGAGAATGATCCCTGCTTGCCTGACTGTGGGAAACGCGCGGGCACAGGAACCGGTGCAGGAAAGACAAGAAGATGACTTGTAAAAACACAGATGTGTGCATGGAGCCGATATGCCTTAGTAAAGACACTGATATGTTTGGATTGCAGCTACTGACATCTTGTATTTGGCACTTTGAATGTCACTATGCAAAGAATTCAGAGCAGCAATCAGTGTGTCAGACCTAAAGGATAAACTAAATGTCCATCACTTACATTCATTCTGTTGATGAGTCATACATCACACTCATGAATAACTCATCTGTCTTCTGCACTACCAAATATCACTGAATGAATGTTTTTTTTTTGTTGTTGTTTTCTTCTATATGAAAAAACTGTTGGGTTTTCCTCTGCCTGAAACCTATTCATGTAGCCTGGCAAGCCGTCCTACATAGTAGAGCTGGGCGATAAATCACAAATTAATCATTATCAAAATCTCTGATTCTAATCAATATCAATTTTCCCATGTCAAGGAATTAGGTAATAAAAAAATGAAAAGATATTTGTAGGTTGGCAACGTGACTCGGCGTGATAAATGTGACAGCCCTGTCTAGTGAACAATTTTTTTGTTGTGCAAACATGTAGTTATCATCCGTTTATTGTTATATGCCACAATATTTTAGGCCATATCGCCCAGTCCTAATACATAGTCTGGCCATGAGCTATAGACAGAGCTCGGTCGTGGGGCGGAATCCACGGTTATCTTTCAAACTGCATACTATTGGACAGCGCTAGAACCAATCACATCAACGAACAACGAGACATACCCAATGCCACAGAAACCAGTCAGCAAAGCAGTCCGCCATGCACCGGTGAAGAAGAAGCAGCAAATACATCCTTTTTTGAATTAAATGACATAGATGCCTCCACCCGCTCATGTCTCAAAGAAAAGCTCAAGTCTAAGTCATTTAAAGTTGTTTCAAAAAAGAGTCGTCGCCATCTTTGTAGTTTTTCTCCTTGGCAGCTCTGGTGCTAAGCCAACCCACGTCTCTTGACAAACATAGAGCGCTGAGATTGGACAGCCCTAAACTAGTTTTGGCCAGTGTTAGACCTGCTGAGGCTACAATGGAGCATGGCTACACCGACCGGCAGAGGAAAAACAGCTACGGCTTGTCTAGAATTCTAGGTTAGTTTTTATGATTTTCAGAATCAAATATTCCAGTAAATGAAATGAAATGCCTTTCAACATCTGTCTGCTAAAATGTCATTGTTTAAAACATCGCTGACATAGCGTCAGTCAGACAGAATACACCTGTTGTGTCAGGTTGAATGATACCAGAAAAAAACTCATTTTAACTGGAGATAGCAGGAACAAACCTGAAATCAGCCATGATCTCTTTAGTCCTCAGTCAATTACCAAACTTATGCACTTTAAAATTTAAAGTTCCGAAAATTATGTGAGCTGATGGGACCTCAATAATCCAATTCATTGTTAATGTTGTGGTTATTAATGATCCATATTCCCCATTTTGTCTCCACAGTGAACGAGATCATCAAGAATGACCTCTCCGCCATTTCTGTTCACACGCATGCATAGACTCCCAGTCTTCTGCTTCACACACACACACACACACACACACACACACACACACACACACACACACACACACACACACACACACACACACACACACACACACACACACACACACACACACCTGCTGCAAGAGGACGAAAAAGGCTGCAATCCAGAATATGAAGATAGGATCTCCTATCATCACCTGCTCAGACACCTGCTGCAGACTCACACTGACAATCACAGCAGGCTCAATTTCAATAAAAGGGTTACATCTTTTAAAGAAGGGAAGTGATATCAGGGGCAAAGTATGAGACTACACTTGTCTTTATGCACAGCAGATGTTTTTAGTGGACCAAGCAACTCAGTGACTGCATTACTCTTCTACAAATGACAATCTTCATTTCATCTAAGGTTGCTATGTTCATGCATGGACACGCTAATGGGACAGCGAGTGTCGAGCTTCATCATCGGTTCCTTTTGTTTGTGCAGCTACAACTAAACTGGTGCCTTACAGCAGTGACACGTGCAAGCGAGACCCAAAGCCGAAGTTTTTATACGTCTCTTTTGTATCATTTCAAGGATTTGTTTACAGGAAAATGGAATAAAGAAAAGGAAAATGTGTTAGGGGTATGTGAATACATGATAGTTACATATTTCTTGTTTCATCGTTATTATTAATATTATTACCACTGTTCATTTATGCTGAATGTTCTGTATGATATCCTTTTGTATAAACATGTCTGATAAAATATGTATGCCTTAAGCTCATATCATAAATATTTTCTACTTAAGCATTCCACTCTTCCCTCCGTCTTCCCCTCCACGTGTTTTTCATCCTGCGTTTTGCTTTTCACCTTAGTGCCTATTTTTGATTCCCCTCATTGCCATTTCTTCAAGTCCTTGACTCAGATTTAGTCATACAGATGCAAAGACAATCAGATAACATCGCTAAATCTAATGACAAAGTCTCTTTATCACAGGGACTTATAAAAGCAGGTGGCAAAGGCTTTTCCTCCATGCAGTGAAACAGATGAACGATGCCTGCCTGCCGAACTTAAACAAGAATACCACCAGTTACGTCTTGAACTGCAGGTTTTCCTGCAGTAAGGTAAAAGTTTTTTTTCTACATTTGTTACAAATTCATTTCCAGTGACCCGTGTGATTTCACTGAGGAGTTGGCAAGACTGTTACTTACCTGCAGCTGGCAATAATTGGTCTTAGTTAACCAAAGGATTTTATCTTTGGTGAAATTATTGTCCAAAGCTTTCTTCTTCTGTGTGAAACGTTTAGCATAGCACAATTCCCCAGATATTAAACGTTGTGCACTTTACAGCAGAAACAAAGCAGAATTTCTTGCCTTCAGACCAAATCTTATGGAGTGATTTCCTCAGCTGTGTCAAACTTACTCTAACCATACAAAGCTGCTGCCTTTCTGTGTTGTTTTGTCTTTAGGGGCATGCGCACCAATCTAATGACGGACATCATTTAGCTGAGATTAGTTTTCAGAATAGCTTTCTGATACCTTTTTGAACATAATCTGTCAGAGCATGAGTAAACTGTATGAATACTCTTCCTATTCTGTGCCTTACTCTCTTTTATGGCTTAAAAACTATTGCAACTGTGTAATGCTTTATTTCTGTATAGGCACAAGGTGAAATGTCTTTAATATGACATATTTATGAAAAATAAAATTTGTCTAAACTGAATTTAATTAACGTGTTCTTTCAAATTGAATGAATAAATAAATAAATGGCAGACTGGTGACCAAAAAATATTCTGGTGTTAATGATTTATTCTGATAGCAAAATGTGGCAAAGAGGCTTTATCATTTTATAAATATGAAGTATCAAACTCAACATGTCCTTTCAGTTTTCGTCTAGAATAGCTAATGAGACAGTGCTGCTGTTGCAATTTATAGCTTGAATTAAAGGCATCGGTGATGGGAAAACAGCATTGCTAAGCAACAAGAATGGCATCAGAAGAAGAGTTGGTAACACTGAACAGTAAGGGTCCCTTATTAACGTTACTTAGTGGATTATTAAGCATTAACAAACAAAGGATCCCTTTATTGTGTTTTTAAGGATAGGACAAATGGTCGGGGGGTGTCTGATAATGATGCATTACTTAATATTGGGCAGTTACTAATATTTTTTTAATTAATTTATTATCGCTTAATAATTCTCTAAGTAACGCTAATACAGGGCCCCTATAGTGAAGTGTTACCAAAGAGTTGTACATTAAAAGAAGTGCTGGAGAGGAATTACATTTTGTAGTTTACCTCAGAAATACAGACTGAAAGTTACCCCTTGTGGCTTCTAGGTCTGGCCACCATGGAAGTGTTGATTTGTATAACGTCCCCCAGCTCTCTAGGAGTGATGTGGTGGACGCTGTAATGAAAACGTGTGAGGTAGAAATAATAACAGAGTAGTGTGTCACTAAAACAAGGATTTCGTTACAAAACTCAGGTGGACTAAAAGTATTTACAATAAAAAAGGGATATCTTTATAAGAAAACAAAGGATCTAAGTACAAAAGGTTCTAACAGAAAGCGCCAGCCCAAAAGGGGCTGGGAATACTAACATAAATAGTCCAACTAAAATCCACAACTTAAACGGGAGCAGTCCTGTTAAGCAGAGACGGTCTGACAAGGCCAAATCAAACTGTATGTTCAAGGGTCGAGTTTACCAACGAAGCTAATCAAAATGTGTGCACGCGAGGAGAAGAGAGAAATGGAAACCTTCCATGCCCACACTTCCCTGCAACCTTCTCGCCGTCTCAGCCCAGGTGACGTCCTTTTACCAGCTGTGCTGATGATTGGAATCACGTACAGCTGGGCAACCAGAGGAAGGAGCCAGGTGAGAATGGTGCTACTGAGGCCATCTAGTGGCCGGAAAGGGGAGTGCCTGTAACACCCCACCCCTTAAGAAAACAGAGGGCAAGTTTAGCATACAGGGCCGACATTTGTTTTAAATCTTGAGGACTACAGCTAACTCAAAAATAAAACTAACTAACTCACCCTAGTCTTCATGAAAACGTGATGGCGGGTGAATTAAACACAAATTACCAGCAGTACTGATCCCCAGTACTGCGGAGTGTTCCCGAGATGTCTGTGAGACACAGACAACACTAACCTCCTTTGTTTTCAACACTACAAAGCAAAACAAACGGGATTCACACCCAAAGGAGTGGGGATCATAAGCCTATAAGGGAGCCTCAAGCACCAAAACTACGGGACAAGGCGTCGGCGATGACGTTGTCGGAGCCCTTGTGACGGATCTCAGTGGTGGACTCCTGCAGCAGCAAAGACCATCTCATCAGCCACTGATTATGGTTGTACATACGACTCAGGAAGACCAATGGGTTATGATCTGTAAACACAGGAGTGGTGAATTTACTGTTTCTGACACAAACTTGGAAATGTTGCAAAGCCCAGATGAGTGCTAATGTTTCCTTTTCAATGGTGGAGTAGTGGAGCTGAGCCTGGTTGAACTTCCGGGAAAAGTAACAAACGGAATGATCAAGCACGTTAGAATCTTCCTGGATTAGAACAGCTCCTCCAGCCCCAGCGTGGCTGCGTCAACTTCCATCTTAAACGGCCATGAGAGATCTGGAGCTGCTAGGACAGGAGCACAGCACAACAGGTTTTGTAAAGAAACAAAGGCATGTTGACACTCAGAAGTCCATAAAAAGGGGATGCGAGGACTTAGCATGTTAGTGAGGGGCTGAGCCACAACCGAGAAGTTTCGACAGAAACACCTATCGAACCCAGCCATGCCTAGAAGTCGCTGGAGCTCTTGATGGGTTGTTGGAGGTGGAAAGGAAACCATGGCCTGGATCTTGTCCGTTAGGGCTCATACCTTCCCATGGCTGACTTCCATCCCTAGGTAGTGGATGGTGGCTTTCACAAACTCACATTTATCCAAGTTTAAAGTGAGATTAGCCAATCTAAATAAGCACTACATTGAGGGACGCCACACAGAACCTGGTTAACGAGCCTCTGAAATGTGGCAGGGGCATTTCTTAAACCAAATGGCAACACAGTGTACTGTAAAAGATTGTCTGGAGTCACAAAAGCAGAGACCTTGGAGGTGAAAGAAGTTAACGGAACTTGCCAATACCCTTTTAGAAGGCCGAGTCTAGAAACAAAGGATGCTGCTCCCACACTGTCTACACAGTCATCCACACGAGGCAAAGGGAATGAATCCGGAACAGTAGCTGCATTGAGTTAACGATAGTCGGTGATGAATCTACAAGTACCATCGGGTTTGTTTTCTAACAGACAAGGGGAGCTCCAAGAACTAATACTTGGCTTTGCTAGGCCGTTCTTGAGTAGGTAGTTTACCTCCTGCTTCATCAACTCACGCTTTTGAGGGCTGGTGCGGTAGGGGTGCATCCGCACTGAAGTCGGGTCTGAAAGAACCATGTCACGAGTTATCAGATGGGTTTGCGAAGGAACATCCGAAAATAGCTCAGGAAAAGAGAAAAGTAAGTCTTGTAGTTCCACCTGCTGAGAAGGTGAGAGATGATTCAGACTGGTAGACAGATTCTTAAGGGCATCTGAAATGCACAGACAAGGGGTAGTAGGAGGACCCATAGTAATGGCATGAGAGGGTACATCAGAGTCTTCTGGTAGTTGTGAACCTACATTGGCAGCAATGACACCAGACTGGGTGGGAGCAGAGTCTCTACACTGGATGGTTTCAATCGGTGTATGTGGCAGACTTTAGTCTTTCTATGCAATGAAGGGGTTTTTACCACATAGTTGCATTCACTCAATTTAGATACAACCTCTTAAGGGCCCTCAAACTTAGGAGATAAGGAAGAGCCAACCATTGGACTCAGAAGGAGTACTTATTCTCTTACTTGTAAAACTTGGGAACGAGACTTTGTGTCATAGCGAGCTTTCACAGAGGCTTTTACAGTCCTCGGGTGCTGTTGCGCTAAATGGTTAGCGTCTTTCAGTCTTTTCTGACAGGTATTTACATAGGTTGGAATGCTAGAACCGACAGGAGGAACAGGCCAGAGGAACTTTTCCTTCAAGGCCTTTAATGGGCCCCTAGGGGCATGACCAAACACTAGCTAATGTGGACTGAAACCATTGGAGTCTTGTACTGCATCCCTGGCTGCAAATAAAACAAATGGAAGACCTTCTTCCCAAGAGTGACCAGAAAATAAGCAATTTTTCCGGAGCATGGTTTTTAGAGTTTTGTCCTGTCGCTCGATCACGCCCTGACTTTCTGGATGGTAACTGGAGGACGTGGCGTGTCTGATGTTCAGGGTCTTTGCAACCTGAGAGAAGATCCGAGAGGTGACGTTGGTACCCTGATCGGACTGAATGACTTTGGGCAAACCTAAAACAGAAAAGAAACTAGTTAATGCTTTTACATTCTTAGTTGTAATCGAAGACAAAGGAACAGCCTCCGGAAACCAAGTGGCAAAACACAAGATTGTTAACAGATATTTGCATCCTGACCGAGATGGAGGAAGAGGACCTACACAGTCTATAACGATATGATCAAAAGGGGTTGAAGTCCTGGGTTCACTTCCCGGCCTGGGATCTTTCTGCATGGAGTTTGCATGTTCTCCCTGTGCATGCGTGGGTTCTCTCTGGGTACTCCGGCTTCCTCCCACTGTCCTAAAAACATAACTGTTATGTTAATTGGTCTGTCTAAATTGTCCTTAGGTGTGAGTGTGTGTGTGTGCATGATTATTTGTCCTGTGTGTCCCTGCAATGGACTGGCTCTCTGTCCAGGGTGTACCCCGCCTAATTGCCCATTGACCGCTGGAGACAGGCACCAGGGTTCGGTTGAAGGTGCTAAAGCGAAATAAATGGGGCAGCTAGAGGTCCATTCGAAGTACTCCTCTTCACTCCCACTGCTGTGAAGATTGCTGAGAGACCATCTTGGATTCATCTATCCCACTGCAAGCTTATCAACTAACCGCTTTAGTGATGAAGTCCAGCTACAAAGGGGTGGGCCACCACTAGGGTGCCACCTCTCAAATCCGGTGAAGATGGAGGTTTGCTTCAAGGTCATTGGTTTCACCACATTGTTGATGTTGGTGGTCGCACTCATGGCCCTGCACTTGGGCCGCCTCTCAGCACCTGATGAAACAACTCAGACAGCAGCATTTGAGGGGGTACTAGAACTGGAAATGAAATTACGGATTGGGGTTCCTTCCTGACCGCACATCAACATGACAACATAACCCGCTTCCACCTCAGCTGTAGACCCCGTGGACAAAACTACAACAGGATCAACTACTTCAAGCACCTGCACCCAAACCTCCAGACTGGTTTCATGGTCAAGGACCTAAAGGACTTTTCGGGGACAAGATCAGCTCCCTGACAATTGGACAACCGCCTCGACATGCCATGGAAGGACCCTGAAGCCTTCCTATTGAGAAGTTGAACTGTGCGCTTCATGTTCCAAACTACGTTATTACGTTCCGGACCTGGACTTCAAGGTACTTATCAACATAAGACTGAAACCATCCTGATCAATGGAAGAGGACTCTATCTTTCAAAACTATTCTCCAACTGGGACTGTCAGTCCACGGACGAGCCCTTTGATCAAGAATGCCTGGTTTGCCTTAGCTCTGACATAGTTAGAACTGCATAAATTAATATTACACGTTCATTTTTCCTCCTTCACAGAAAGACTCATCTGCAACTTGAAGCTTTAAATCAAA